AGAATGGACTCCACGGCAGTGGGTGTGGTTTGGGCTTTGCTTCTGTAAAGACTGACAGCCTGGGAAACCCTGTGGGGAAGTTCCACTCTGTCCTCTAGGGGCGCTGTGGGTCAGAATGGACTTCACAGCAGTGGGTGTGGTTTGGGCTTTGCTTCTGTGAAGATTGACAGCCTTGGAGACCCTGTGGGTCAGTTCTTCTCTGTCACATGGGGTCACTATGAATTGAAAACTGACTCAATGGCACCTGACAACAGTATGTATATAAACGAGATATAATCCCTGAATTTAAGGAGATATACCAAGGGGGGAAAAAAAACCATCATCATCAAGTTGATTCCTACTCATAGCAATTCTATAGATTAGAACAGAACTTCCCCACAGGGTTTACCAGGATGTAATCTTTATGGAAGTAGACTGCCAAATCTCTCCCCTGCAGGGCAGCTGGTAGGTTTGAACTGGCAACCTTTTGGCAACCAATCAAGTGTTTAACTACCATGTCACCAGGGCTCCTTCCAGGAGCTATGATAAACACATGTATTAGGATTCCCAAATATATGTTTATATGAAATTCCCCAAAGAAAACAGATGGGGAAATTCAAACCAAAAAACCCACTGCCGTCGTGTCCATTCTGAGTCAGAGCAACCCCTATCGGGCTTCTGAGGTGGTAAATCTTTACAGAAGTACACTGCTCAGTCTTGCTTCTGCAGAGTGGCTGATGGGTTTGAACCGCCAACCTTCTGGTTAGCAGTCAGATGCTTCAGGCACATTATATCTACCTCAGCTTTTAATGTACTTCTGACTTTAGGATAATATTAATTTTCTTACTTGGTTTTTAATATCTGGCAGCATACTGGACTTTGATTGCCACTATGGGAAAAACAGTGTCACTTGTCATTTAAATTTATATCTCAGAAGATACAGTTACCTTCTCCTAATAGACAGGGCTACTCACAGTTCTCCCAGATTTGTTAACGAAGAGAAGGCCTTCTCTGGAACAGAATCAATTTGATTTCTAGGCAGGAACCTGCAAGACACACTGACAGTCAGCACTGTTGGTTGGGTCTGCTTTAAAGGTCCGTTCTGATTGGGAGATGCCCATGACCCAGGTGTGAGTGACTCAGTCTCCCGGGGTGTCTCAGAGGGAGGAGGTCCTGCAGGTGAGGAATAGAGGCCATGTTTCTCACTTGCTGAGCTCTGTTGGCTGCTCTCAGCATGGCTACCCACAACCTCGCCACAGGAATGAGTGCCACCAGCAAGTGAAGGCTTCA